GATTGGGACCTTCTAAAAATTAAATTTTTATGTGCTTCCAAAGACTTCTCCAAAAGAGTCAAAAGAGAACCTACAGATTGGGAAAAAAATATTTGATAATGACATATCTGACAAGGGACTTATCTCTAGAATTTATAGAAAACTCCAATACCTCAATAACAAAAAGACAAACAATCCAATAAAAAAATGGGCAGAAGACATGAATAGACACTTCACCAAGGACGATATTCAAGTGGCCAACAGACGTGAAGAAATGCTCACGATCATTAGCTATTAGAGAGATGCAAATCAAAGCAACAATGAGATACCATCTTGCTTCAGCACTAGCAGCAAAGTTCAACAAGACACAAAATAACAAATGCTGGTGAGGATGTGGAGAGATTGGGAATCTCATACACTGCTGGTGGCACTGTAAAATGGTACAACCATCGTGGAAAATAGTATGGTGATTCCTTCAAAAGTTGGAACTAGAAATACCATTTGACCCAGCACATAATAACAACAACAACAATTCCATTACTAGGTATATATCCTAAAGAAGTGAGAGCCATGACAAGAACAGACATATTCACACCTATGTTTATCACAGCACTACTTACAATAGCCAAAAGATGGAAACACCTAGGTGTCCATCAGCTGAGGAATGGATAACCAAACTATGGTATATACCCACAATGGTATACTATGTGATGCTAAAGAATAATGTAGAATCTGCAAAACACCACATAACATGGTTGAACTTGGAGGACATTATGCTGAGTGAAATAAGTCAATCACAAAAGGACAAATATTGTATTAGTCCATTATTGTGAAAACTATGAAATGTTTATCTATGGAAAACATTTTCTTTGCTGCTTACCAGGGGTGGGAGGGTAGGGTAGGGAACACTGTTAGATAGACAGAGATAAGTATTGATTTGGGTGAAGAGAAGGGCAATGTACCAAATGTGAGTGATCAATATGTTGGCATTGAGGAAGAGAAAGATACAGAGAGGTACGTGGGAGGTACAGACAACAAAGATGAACCCTTTTGCACATATAGTACTGAGTTTTCAGTGAAGGCAAATATGGGTATATGGGTGTGTAGATGGGTGGACAGGCTGAACTATTAGGTATGTCTATGAAGTGGGGAATGTACCCAAGAACATGTATAGGTTAGCAGACAATGGTCCTATAAGTTTATGTGCATGATCTGAATTCCCAGGTATATAGCAGAGCTGACAAAGGGCAAGGTTGTAGTCACTGCTTGGTCACAGCCAGCTACCCAGAGGGACCGAGTAGTTGAACCTGTGGGCTGGGAACCATAGTTGCAGAGGACATAAGGCTCAATTGGCATAATATACTACACAAAACATTGTTCCACCTCCTACTTTGGTGAGTAGTGACTGGGATCTTAAAAGCTTTCAAGCTGCCATCTAGATACAATGATGGGTCTCTCCTTGTCTAGAGCAAAGAAGAATGAAGGAAACCAAAAATTCATGGAAACAATTAGTCCTAATGACTGGTACACCATGCAATCCTTAGCCTATATGACTATGAGATCAGAAGAACTAGATGGTGCCCGGCTACTACTGTCAGCCACTTGGAAGGGGATCTTTGTAGGAGATCCTAGATAGAGAGGGAGAACAATGTGGAACAAAACTCAAAATCATTTGGAGAAAAAAA